CCCCTGCTCACCACGTGGACAGCCAGATTCCTCCTGGCCTGGACACTGCCCTTCAGTCCTGGGGACAGGAAAAGCTGCCCCCCCCAGACCATGCAGGGCCCCACCCCCACCGTGCATCTGAGCACTTCCTGCGGCTATGAGCCCCCTGGAGGAGGCGGATTGCTGGGAGTGGGTTGCTGGGTCAGGGTCACCTTCAGCTGCAGTGGACCGGCGGGGCCTGCAAAAGCTGCCCTGCTGGTGGTGGGAGGAAGCTGGAGGATCCCACCTACAACCTGGCGGAGAGCCAGGGCTCTGTGAGCACACGCACGCACACGTGAACATGCACAGGCAGGCATCCTGCAGCCACACGCACACTGTGCACACGTGTAGCAGCTGTCTCCCTGCAGGCAGAGGCGCCCCAGGCTCTGCCGCTGCTGCTACTGCTGCCTGGGCAGGGCCGGGACACCTGGCATCACCCCTGTCTAGCGGGTGAGGCTGTGGGGGAGGGGCTACTCTGGGCTCTGCCTCGCCCCCTCTGCTCCCCTTCCTGCCTGACCCGAGGTGCAGGGCCCAGGGACGGGGCGGGGGAGGCAGGGCCGCAGCTGGGCCGTCTGGGGAGGGTGGGCGCTTGTGAGAGGGCTGGGAGAGCACACAGGGCGGCCTTGTCTGGGGAGCAGGAAGGGGCGGGGCCTCGGTCAGCGGCTGTGCCCTGTGCAGGGCAGGGGTCACTAAGGCTCTATTTCTAGCTCAGCCTCGGCCCGCAGGCTCCAGGGGGCACCGAGAGAGGCTGCAGTGCCAGGCTCTGCCCCTGGCCCTTCCTGCAGCTGTGGCCTCCCTCAGGGCAAAGGTCAGGGTTCCCAGGGCAGGAGGGGCTGAGGGCCCAGCACCAGCCAGGAGGCTCCCTGGGGACAGAGCGAGCTGCTCTGCACCCCTCCTCCATGGCTCCCCACTGCTGCGGGGGAGCGTCCACGCCCCTCTTTCACGGGGCCACCCTGACCTCTGACCTCTCCCCACTCCAGGATTCAGCCTCTCCCACCCACTGTGTCCTGGATGAGACCAGCAGCCCCACCAGGCCCAGGGATGTAGCATGGGGGGCGGGGCTCCAGGGGCCCCAGGTGCTATGCACAGCATGGGGGCGGGGCTCCAGGGGCACCAGTGCTGTGTCCTGGCAGGGGGCCCCCACACTGCCACCCGCTGCATCTTCCAGGGAGTCCTGCATGGGCTCCGTGAGCCCCTGGGGTAGAGAGCGCTGCTGCCAGGGTCTGGGTGCCTCCCATGCAGCCTGCTGGGCTCCAGAGGTAAGACCCCCAGAAGTCAGGTGCAGGGGAGGGGAGCTGGCTGCCCTCGCTCCACGGTGCCAGTGTTGTCTCCAGGCCCCAGGCTGCCACCAGCTCCGTTCCCGTCACCGGGGTCTGTGTGAGCCGAGACGACCCAGCCGCTGCCCCGGCTGTACCAGGATGGGATTTCAGCCCCGAGGTAGAAGAGGAGGTACACTCAGAGGCACGGGAGTCCTGCGACCCCACATGCTCCTGACCCCTCTCCTTCCGGGAGGAACCATTGGAAGTCACTGCAGCCGGGGGAAGCCAGGGAGGACGCAGGTTCACCGCCTCTCTGGGAGGGGAGGTGGATCTGCCTCTTCCAGGAGCGAGGAAGGGCCCCGCGGCTGCGATGGCTCTCTCTCAGTTTCTCCAACTGCACGAGGCTGGATCTGCTCTGAGTGTCCCCACTGGGCATTGGCTGGACCAGGGCTTCCTGGTCTGGGGCGTGGGGCAACTCTGGGGATGTGAGGTGGAGGGAGGAAGCGGCCGGGGCACCTGGGAACATCCTTGTGGGGGAGCCGCCCAGTCCTCCCCTGCCCACCCAAGTGGGGATTTGAGAGGGGAGGGAGTCTGTGCTGTGGGTCCAAGGAGCCCAGCTCGTGGGAACGCAGACTCTGGGGCCCCACCTCAGCACAGGGGTCCCTTCGGTCTCAGCCGTACGCGGCCACACTGCGGGCCCTGGGAGCCTCCATCTGCCCCGTGACCTGTCCCTCCCTCCCCACGTGCCCAGCCCTGGGTCTCAGGGAGCTGTCTTTGGCTTCCCCTGGACTCCTTCTTCTCAACAGCCACCCCCTTCCTGGTCCCGGGACCCCCCACCCGGGACTACCACCTGTGCTCAGAACCCCAGGCAACCCCTCTGCCCGGGGCCCTGGCCACCTGCGCCCCAGCAGACCTCACGCAGCGTCTGGCTGGTGGGAGACTGCAAAGCCGTTGGCCCTCGAGGCTTTGAGCCCACACTGAATGTTTTATTTGAAAGCAAGCGACCTGTTGCACGGGCGCACTGGCTCGTGGGTGGTAAACACCACCACTGTATGGTGAGCCTGCCACCTCCCCTGTGCGCAAAGACGGCCAGCCTTCTCACCGCCCCTCCCTCTTCAATGCCTGTTCTCACCGCATTCCACACATTCTCCACGGAGGCCCCGCTGCTCCGCCTGTGTTGGTGGAGCTGTGTTCTCCCTCCACCAAGAGCAGCTCTCGCGGCCCACACGTGGTATAGCCGGTAAAGCCACCACCTGCAGAGCCGGCACCCCATATGGGCACCAGCTTGAGTCTCAGCTGCTTCACTTCCGATCCAGCTCCCTGCTGATGGCTGGGAAAGCGGCAGAAGATGGCCCAGTGCTTGGGCCCCTGCTATCCCAGTGGGAAGATCAAGGACCCCAGAGACCCGTGCTGACGATGGCCCACCTGGAATCCGCCTGCCCTGGGGGCGAGCAGAGTCCGGAGAGCAGCACCTGGGACAGCCCCTGGCCCAGACCCCTTGGCTGCTTGCCCTCCCCCGGCCCGGCCCCCAGCCCTAAACATGGAGGCCGGGACATCCCCTCTGACACTCAGGACGTCCTCAGGTGTGGCCGCGTGGGGCTGCGGCCGGGGTCTGAATCCATCGCTGGCCTCATTCACGGAGGCCCCTGCCGAGCACCCACGCTGCCCCCACCCTGCTGGCCCTGCAGGGGCCTCAGCTGAGGGGCAGCTCCTCCCTCCCAGCGCCCAGCAGCCCCCGCCAGCCCAGGGAGCAGAGCAGCTGCTCCCAGCTCCAGCTCGGCCAGGCTCTGAGTCTCCCCATCTGCAATCAGGCCGCACGAGCAGGAACAGGGGGTTGACGGAATTGGCATTTCTCCCGGCACTAATGAACTCACTCTGTTGAAGATGCAAACTGACTCTGTGGAAACTGGCCACGTGCCACAGGGTGTGGCCAGGTGGTACTGAGAAGGACTTAGGGGAAAGACGGCGACTCATGCCCGTCTGTCTCCCATGGGAGTGGCAGGGACTGAACCACTTGACCCATAACCAGTGCCTGCCAGGAAGCTGGAGTCAGGAGCGGAGCCAGGATTCGAACCCAGGTACTGGCAGGAGGGACGCGGGCATCTGCACCGCGGGGCCAACGCCTGCCACAGGAGATGCTTTCTGCCCCAGTCACCCATGGGACCTGCTCGCTTCCCCCAGCTCCCGGCTGTGTGGGATCGTGGTCCACAGCCCGTGTGGACACTGTGTGGGGCCCACACTGCTGGCCCAGGCAGGCACAGGACCCGGCTGGCTCGTGCTGGGATGCATGTGCCCCGTCCGCTGGGGTCGATCCACGCCAGTGGCTCAGCGGGGACATGTGCGGCTGCCGGAACACCTGAGGTCCCTGGGAACTGGACCGGCCCAGGAGTGTAAGGCAAATTGCCATTTATGTGAGTGGCCGTCTGTCTCCGAGGACAGCTGTCTGGGAGCCAGCCGTGACACTGGGTCACTGCTCCTGGCAAACAGACACCGCGCTCTGCAGCCTCAGTGAAACAGGCACAGGCGGCAATGGCAGGCGCCACCCGGGAGCTGCGCCTGCGCCAAGCCCAGGCCTACCAAGCCCAGGCCCTCCCTGAGGGCAGGCAGGAAGGACGGCTGGGTGCACGCCACACCTGCCCTCGGGGCTGGAGCCATCATCGGCCACAGGAGGCAAGGGACTCGATGCAAGGGCACTCGGCAGGGCAGGGCACGGTCACCCGGGCAGGCTCCGCCCTCGGGTCCACTGCACGCTGCGGCCTCCACCACAGCAACGGGAGTTACTCACAGGGCTCCTCACCTGTCAGGTGCACCTGCGAGGGGGCGGCACCTCTGTGAGGGGCAGGGGGTGGACAGGCGGCACAGCGAGGGTGTGACCCCAGAGGGAGAGGGGAGGGGTGCGGGCTCCCCGTCCCCGGGGCCCCTCCCCTGACAGCCACGCCGCCTCCACAGGACCCCTGACTCAGGACTCCCCGTCCCCGGGGCCCCTCCCCTGACAGCCACGCCGCCTCCACAGGACCCCTGACTCAGGACTCCCCGTCCCCGGGGCCCCTCCCCTGACAGCCACGCCGCCTCCACAGGACCCCTGACTCAGGACTCCCCGTCCCCGGGACCCTCCTCTGACAGCTATGCCACCTCCATCAGGACCCCTGACTCAGGACTCCCCGTCCCCGGGGACCCTCCCCTGACAGCCACGCTTCTCCATCAGGACCCCTGACTGAGGATGAGGGTTGGACTGGGAGAGGCCACCTCACTTCTGGAGAGCCACCAAGGACCAAAGCAGGCAGGGCTGTCCTGGGCTGGGGGAGGAGCAGTTGTCCACGGAGCAGTGACAGCCACGGAACAAGGCGGAGCTCTGGAGACTAAAACCCATGACAACCAAATGAAAACAAGAAGAACGTGGATGGAGGAGAAGCGGGAAGGCAGGGTGGGAGTGAGGGCTGTGGTGTAGAAGGCAGCAGCGTAGGAAAGCTGCAGCCCCAGAGAGAACAGATCGCCAAGGCGGGGATTTGCAGGGGAGAGCGTGGGGGAAGCTTCCCAAAGCCGAGGACTGGGTTTGCTGCGAAAGAGCACCCGTCCTCCGGAAACGCGTGGGAAGCACTGACAGTGAGCAAGCTGCAGTGCGCGGATCACATCCCAGCCCCAGGGCACAGACCCTGCCTGTCCTGAGAGAAGGAGTGGATTAAACCGTCTAGAAGACAGAGGGACACCACACTCATCGGCAGCGCCCTTGGGAGCTGGATGAATGTGGCCGATGCCTTCCATTCTGAGTTTCCCTGGAATTCCACATCCAGCAAACATAGACTCCCACACCGCCAAAGCACTGCATCTCCCCCACACGCCACACCCACCCGACACTGCTGCCCTGAACACGGCACACGCCACACACCGCGTGACACTGCTCCCCTGAACACGGCACACGCCACACCCACCCGACACTGCTCCCACTGAGACATAGCACACGCCACACCCGCCCGACACTGCTCCCCTGAACATGGCACACGCCACACACCGCGTGACACTGCTCCCCTGAACACGGCACACGCCACACACCACCCGACACTGCTCCCCTGAACACGGCACACATCACACCCACCCGACACTGCTCCCACTGAGACACGACACACGCCACACACCCACCCGACACTGCTCCCCTGAACATGGCACATGCCACACACCGCGTGACACTGCTCCCCTGAACACGGCACACGCCACACACCGCGTGACACTGCTCCCACTGAACACGGCACACGCCATGCACCGTGTTCTGCACCCTGCTTTTTACACGGAGCTTGTCTTGGAATCTGCTCACAGTAGCACAGCAGCACAGGAAGACTTTCCTTGTCTCTAGTGGTTGCTCAGTGTTCCTGGGCACGGCCGCCCCGTGGCTCATGTGTCAGCCACTGCTGATAGATGCTCTGTAGTTTCTAGACTTCGGAGGCACAGCCGTGTGGTAAACAGTTCAGTCATGAGAGAGGAGTGAGTTCGGGAGCCTGCTCCACACACAGCACTGGGCTCTCAGCACTGTGCCTTACCAATCGCCAGGGAAGGAGTTGTGTCACCTGCCCTGACCTCCAAGACGAGGAGGGAGCACAGAAGCCGGAGGTGGAGGGTGCGGCGCTGCCTCGACTGTAGTAATGGGTTCCCAACAGCGCAGATGCCTACGCCCTACAATATTTTCTTTTTACATTTTCATGTGTCGGTTCCACAACAATAAAGCTGTTTGAGCAAGAAACAAAGCGAAAAAAGAAACATCTTTCATGCAATTATTCAAGCACATTTGGGAGCCCATCTGTTGGATGAATTACCAGAAGTAGATTTTGTGAGGTTAACGATTGTAAAGATGAAAGAACTATGAAGTGATTTGTATGAAAAATGCACTAACGCAGACATAAAATAAGGAATTTTGAATCCCCATTTGACCCTTGTTTCAACAAATACTGAAATAGGGAAAAGCAAAGCCACACTGGGGGATGAATAACATTTAGTAACTAGGTTCTCTTCTACAGGATGGACACAAAGGAGAATTGGACGCATGCCTGGATGGATGGATAAGTGGGTGGGTGGTGGATGGATGGATGGACAGATCAGCAATTGGATGGATAGATGGGTGGATGAGTGGGTGGCTGGGTGTTTGGATGGATGGGTGGGTGGTTGAGCGGGTTGGTGGGTGGACAGATCAGTAGATGGACGGGTGGATGGGTCGATGGATGGATGGTTTGGCAACTGGGAGGATGGATGGATGAATAGGTGGGTGAGGGGGTAGCTTGGTGTGTGGATGAGTGGATAGATGGATGGGAGGGTGGATGGCCCATTTCATTCATCATCCTAGAGTCCCACTCTTCGATCCCTCATTCATACACTTACCCTCCACTCACTTCATACCCAAGTCCTGTCAGCCCATCCATCAACCCACCCATTGTCATGTGACTGTCTAAACATTTGTCTGCTCATCTCGTCACGGTTCGTTCACTCACCCTCATCAGTCCTTCTTTCCTTCCACCCAGCCACCCAGTTACTCACTAACCCATCCACCTGTCCCACTGTCTGGCCACCATTCTGCACACACACCCAGCCTCTCACCCATTCTTCCATCCTTCCACCTGCTCATCCACTCCCATTTCAACCCACTTCCACTTCCTTGTCTTCTCACTTCTGTTCACTAACGACCCTCGCTCCAACTCTCATCCCATCCACCCAGCACCTGACCCTCCCAGCTCATCCGAGTGACTTCCCTTGGGCACTTGATGGAGCAGTGGGAGAAGGTGATCAGGGCAGCAGTTAGAGGGAGTTTGGTGAGTAACTGGAACTGGGACGCACCTGCTGTGTTAGTCTCTGCCCATTCCTTACCTTGGAGAATTCTCCATGAGAGAAACAGAGGAGAAAGATTTATGCCACCAGGTCCGGAACCCATTGTCTTTTGGTTAAAAGAATCTGACATGTTCATTTAACCAGACGCCACCTTGTTTGATTGTCACATTGTCACATCAGAACCACTGTGCTTACCCGGACATGGGTGCTCACCACCAGCCACCCGAGTGACTGCTCAAGACAGCACGCGCAGCAGCGCGAGGTGGCCAGCAGAGCGGTCACTCTGACGCTGGAGCCGCTGCTCCTGGAAACTCGGATCAGCCCCCTAGTGAGGCAAGACTTCCGTGCCCGGACCCGGCTCGTGTCCTGGCTCGAGGCCTCTCAGTCCCTCCAAGGCCCATTCTACGCCCCCCTCGTGGCCCCCGTGCACACGGCCCCTGATGACAGCCTGGCTGCTCTTGGCTGAGGGGCCCCGGGGGCCCCCCGGGTGCATGGTGGGGCCGTTAGGTGCTCTTCTCCGGGAGGCAGCCTGGGCCCCTGCTCTGATGCCTGCTCTGGGGTGTTCTGAGGTCCCTGACGCTCATCCTTCTGAGACCAGGCCCTGAGGGTGAGGGGAGGGCTCTGGGGAGGCCTGGAGGTCTCCGAACCTCAGAGTCATTGCATTGCTTCCTCACTCATCCCTAAGTATTGCCCCTGAGGGAACAAAATTAGGAACTATTCTACCCATTCTGTAGGTGGATAACCTGAGGCTCAGAGATGTTGCTGTGTCCTCAAGTCGCCCTGCAGCTGAAAGAGCGGGCGCTCCTGCAGCAACCGGCACTTGTTCAGCACTTCCGCTCCCCTGGCGAGCCCCTGCCCGTGATCCCCCTCATCTGCAAGCGCTCAGAGAAGGCGTTTAGCACAGAGGCCAGGACGCCACTTGGGGCACCCACATGCCGGATCGGAGTTCCTGGGCACGAGTGCCAGCTCCACTTCCAATTCCAGCTTCCGGCTAATGAGCACCTTGGGAAGTAGCAGGTGATGGCTCAAGTACCTGAGCCATACTCAGGCACTCCCACATGGGAGTACTCAGGCATCAGGCACTCCCACATGGGAGTACTTAGGTACTTGGGTGATCCCACATGGGGGTACTCGGGTACTCGGGTGATCCCACATGGGGGTACTCGGGTACTCAGGCACTCCCACATGGGAGTGCTCGGGCATCAGGCACGCCCACGTGGGAGTACTCGGGTACTCAGGCAGTCCCACATGGGAGTACTCGGGCATCAGGCACTCCCACGTGGGAGTACTCGGGTACTCGGGTGATCCCACGTGGGAGTGCTCAGGTACTCGGGTACTCCCACACAGGAGCCCCAGGCTGAGTTTCTGGCTCCTGGCTTCAGCTTAGCCGCCCCAGTTGTTGCAGGCATTTGGAGAGTGAAGCAGCGGATGGAAGTTCTCTCTCTGTCTCAGTCTCTTTGCCTTTCAAATAAAATGAAAACAAGCAAACGTTTACAATCTACCTTAGCAAATGGTGGCCCAAGTCCTCGGGTCCCTGCCACCTGTGCTGGAGCCCTGGTTTTGACCCGGTCAGTCTCAGGTGCTTCAGGCCTTTGGAGAATAAATCCGTGAACGGAAGATCTCGCTCTCGCTCTCGCTCTCTTGTCCTCCTTCTCTCTCCTTCCCTTCTTACTTCCTTCCCCCATCCTGTTGCTGAACCTTTCAAATAAATAAACTTTTAGAAATCTCCCTTATCCACAATCTTTCCACGAGAAAGGACATGTCCTGCCTTCTGTAACTGAACCAAAGCCTGGGAGTTTGTGGGCTGCCTTTCAGAATCCCCGCCTGGCTCCACCCTGACCGTGGCTTCAGCACTGGGCACTCCACAGCCCAGCAGGAGGCCATGGGGCCCCGTGTGCCCCCTTGACCCTGCGGGGATGCCCTGGCTGCGGCTGTGCCTGGCCCTGCAGGCAGTTCCCAGGGGCCTGAGGTCTTCCCCAGCAGAGGTTAGACCAGGACACCTGCTGCTCCACCCCCACAGGCTCCACCTGCTTTGCACAACCAGCCTCAGACGGCTGGGCAGAGCCCTCACGCCTCACCAGGGCCCGGGGCTCCCAGCTTGTCCACGGGTGGGTCTGCTCTGCCACCGGTCCTGGTGCACGGGCTGTGAGCTGTGGGGACAGGAGGGGCTCCTTGGGCTGGGCCAGGCACTGTCTCTCCGTGATATCCCCACACGTGGAGGCGGACACAGCCCCAGTTCCAGTCCCAGCGTCCCGCGGCACAGGTCTCGGGGGCCCCCATCTCTCTCCACTCAGCAGAACTGACCAGGAAGTGGACAGAGAGGCAGCCACAGCCCCAGTCCCGCTTAATTGGATTTCGGCTCTGGATCCCGGTCCGTGTCCTCAGGGCTTCCTGGTGAATTGGATGTGAGGAGCTCCTGATAACAGCAGAGAGGGTGGTGCGAGGCGGTGGCTCAGGTGCAGGGCTGCTGCCTGTGCTCCCCGAGATAAGGGCGGAGGGCAGAGGAGGACAGGAGCAGGGGCCAGGAAGGATGGGAGCAGAAGCTGGGAAGGATGGGCGCAGGGGCCGGGGAGGACGGGCCCAGGGGCTGGGGAGGACGGGAGCAGGAGCCGGGGAGGACGGGAGCAGGGGCCGGGGAAGATGGGAGCAGGAGCCGGGGAGGACGGGATCAGAAGCTGGGAAGGATGGGCGCAGGGGCCGGGGAGGATGGGCCCAGGGGCTGGGGAGGACCAGAGCAAGAGCCAGGGAGGACGGGAGCAGGGGCCGGGGAGGACGGGCGGAGGGCAGAGGAGGACAGGAGCAGGGGCCGGGAAGGACAGGAGCAGGAGCCGGGGAGGACGGGCGTGGGCCGGGGGAGGCCGCGAGAGGCGGCGCTGTCACTGCAGCAGGGCTGTGCCCGAGGGCGGTCAGGCAGCAGGTGCAGCCCAGGCGGCCTGGAGTGAAGGGAAGGAGGCCGGGCAGCTGAGGGGCTGCAGGAGGGTCCCCAAAGCAGAGCACACAGGACAGGAAGTAGAACCACCTCTCGGGAAGGCATCGCGGGGCTGTGGTGGGGCCACCCTGCTCCCTCCCCTCTGCCCCCGGCTCTTCCTTCCAGACTCAGGACCTGAGTGGACCTGCAGATCCTCGGCCCCCACCCTGGGGTGGGAGGGAGCTGCCCCAGACTGACGGCTCCCGGGGCCCAAGGGAAGGGCTGGCATCATCCCAAGGACCTGCGGGGTGGGGGAGAGGCCGTGTTCCTGTGTCCTCAGCAGTAGCTGCCCAGGCAACTGACCAGGCCCCGGACCTTGCTGACTGGCACGTTCAGGTGGTGGGTCAGACCCGCTTCTCAAAGCTCCCCTGGAAGGGGCCGGCCCCTGCCAGGCCTGGATCAGGAGTGTCCCAGGTCTGAATCCCAGCTGCGGGCAAGAGAGCCCAGTGAGCTGCAGGACCTTGTGAGGTGCCGCCCCCTGCAGGTCGCCCCCACGCCACCCCAGCGGAGGACCCCGATGCCTCCCCACACCGGGAGCCTGCCCTTGTGTGGCCGCCTTCCCCCATTCTAACCCACACACAGTGCAGCACCCACCAAAGTCTCCGCACAGGGTTAGGGACCTTGACGAATGGATTCTACATTCACCGTGAAGAGGAAGTGCAAGAATACCGCGGAGAAGATTAAGAAGAAAGGGAGGGGCTGGCACCGCGGCTCACCAGGCTAATCCTCCGCCTAGTGGCGCCGGCACCCCAGTTCTAGTCCCGGTCAGGGCGCCGGATTCTGTCCCGGTTGCCCCTCTTCCAGGCCAGCTCTCTGCTGTGGCCCAGGAAGGCAGGGGAGGATGGCCCAAGTGCTTGGGCCCTGCACCTGCATGGGAGACCAGGAGAAGCACCTGGATCCTGGCTCGGATCAGCGCGATGCACCGGCAGCACCCACCAAAGTCTCCGCACAGGGTTAGGGACCTTGACGAATGGATTCCACATTCACCATGAAGAGGGAGTGCAAGAAAAAAATAATAAAAAAAAGAAGAAAGGGAGGAGGAGGGGGAGAAAGTGGGGATTCTCTCCCCGTTTTCAGCGCCAACAGGTGTGCAGGGCGCAGGGCAGAGTGGAGCAGGCAGAGGGGCGGAGCAGGATGGAACGCGCAGAAGTGGTGCGTGGAGCCCGGGGCAACGCAGCACTTCCCCTCTGCAGGAGCTGGGGGTGAGACGCGGTGTGGGACACTGCCTGTTCTCCTACAGGAAGGAAGGAAACTAACCTCCCACCTCCCACCATTCCCTCAGAGGATTTCAGATGGACCTGCAACCTGACTGTGGAACCAAACCATGAGAAGCTTCGGACGAAAATGGGAGACGCTCTAACCTGGAGAGACAGACCCCTTCACAAGAGAAAAATATGCAGAAAGTAAGGAACACGCAGGTCTGACTGCGCCGGAATTTAGTTTTCTGAAGCCTGGAGAGCCCGCGAGGGAGGAGACGAGCACGAGGTGGAGAAGACGCGTCTGCCTCCCTCCCTGTCAGTGTGTCTTTAAAGGGGCACAGGGAGATCAACAACTCGAGCCAAGTTGTAAACAACCAACTCGCAGGAAATAAATTACAAGCAGCCGGCAAACCCAAGCGAAATGCTCGGCGTGGTAGGACGGAGGAGAGGCGAGCTCCGGCGAGCAGGGATGTATTCCTGTCTGGGGGCGGCGGCGAGGAGCCCCGGCGATGCCAGGTCACCGGCGCGGTGCAGACAGGAGCCCTGAGCTGTGCTTGGGGGACGTGCGCTTGAATGGCCTCGTGCAGACCACAGCAGGCGTATGTGTGAGGACAGCAGGGCCGGAGGAGAGGGCGCTGGAGGCGTCTTGCATGAGAGACCAGGCAGCTCCTGGTAGCGTGACAGGTGTGGTCCAGCAGACCTCCCTAGGGGCCGCTGGACGTTCCTGGGCATCCTGCACCTGCATTCAAGTCCACCCTCACTGTGATGCCCTGGGGCTGAGCCGGGGGGACTTGAGTTTTCAGGTGGTAACTGTGGAGTGGACGGTGCAGTCCCAGGGAGGAATCATTTTTCCTGCCCAACACAGGCAGAGCAGCCTGCAGGCAGTGCCCGGGGTTGCAGTGCTGTGTGTGGTCTCCCAGGGGATTGGGGCCACAGTGGCCCTGTTGACCCTCGTGGGGCAGGGGTGCGTGGGCAGTTGGGGGACTGAGGACACTGAGCTGCTGGTCCTGGGTCTCCTGCCCACAGGCACCGTGGCCCAGTCCACTGTGGACAGTCTGTCCGCATTGCATCTGGCATTGAAGACAGGCGTCCCACACTGGAGGACACACGTGAGGCTGTCCGCTTAATTTGGAAAGAAACCCCAGGGGTCGATACTGAAGCAGCAAAGGGGTTCACCGGCCCCTGCACAGGCATAGTTAATTCAGGAGAGATGGCCTCGGGCACAGCATGGGCCAGGGTTTGACCCATGAAACTGTCTTGCTCGCTCCCTCTCCCTTCCCCGCCCCCACATCAGCAGGAGACTTTTCTCAATGGCAGCACTGGGGCACTCGTGGGCCCACAGGTCTCAGCACCCACAACTTCTCTTTCCTGACAGTGACAGACAGTGCGATGGTCCAGCCTGTGGCCACCCTGGAGGCATCCGGGGCAGCTGGGGAAATAGAAGACCCCAGTGACCAGGTGTGGTTCAGCTGCCTTCCCATGGGGCTCAGGGGCAGGACCGAGCCTCATCAGTCAGACAGCAGACTGGGGGAGGGGTGCTGGGCAGGGGCACACACACACAGGCACACACACATAGGCACACACACAGGCACACACACTCTCACAGGCACACACACCCAGTCACATAGGAACCTAGGCGTTCACACTAACATTATGTCTGCATATGTGGTCACACACACATACATGCTCACACAGGCACATGCAGAATCACACACACACACACAATCACTCACACACACATGCCCACACAGGCACACACACAATCACTCACACACACACACACACACATGCAGGCACCTACGTGCTCACACAGGCACACACACCCAGGCACATAGGAACCTAGGCGCTCACACTAACATTGTGTCTGCATACATGGTCACACACACACATGCACACACACACATGCACACAGGAACTTGGGTACAAACACCAACATTGTGTCTGCACACATACTCACACACAGGCACATGTGTGACACACGCCGAAGTGCTCACACGCATGTATATACATACATGGATACATGTGCATCACGTGCACACACACAGGCATTTGTCGCTCCCCGTCTTCGTGGAGGAACGACACAGGACCCTGCGCTGTTCTTTTGTCTGCTCGGCCCTCCCCGGGTTTGCTGCTGGTTCTTCCCGGGTTGGCTACCGTCCCTTCCACCTCTGTGGAAGGGCGGTTCCCCCTGCCACCTTCCCCACTTCCGCGGGGGAGCGGCACACCGCCGACCGGCTCTCTCGGGGGCTGCACAGGTGTTCCCTCAGATGTTCCCCTTAGATGTTCCTGGTGCACGTTGTCTCTCTCCTCCTTTATAGTCCTCTTCCACCAATCCCAACTCTGCTACCCACACACCGAGTACGCTGCTCTCCTCCAATATTGGTTGAACTGGAGGCAGCTGTGTAGAAGCTGTTTCCTCCTCTCCCAGCGCCATATTGTGGGAGAGCAGATGCATAGAATAAGTCTTAATTCCAGTAACTTAGTCTAGTCTGAGTTGCTCCCAGTTGCTCCCCACAGATCCCCCTTTCTTTTTATTTTTGGCGTTGATACGCGCCTGTCTTCGGTGCCCTGCGGCACACACTCTGCTCTGCTTGCTAGAGTTGCCACAGGTTCTTACAAGTCCTATCAATCAGGCAAACCGAATCCGGGCCCTCTCTTCGCCATGTTGTGAGGAGGTTTTTAGGCGCTGATGCATGCCTGTGTTCGGTGCCCTGCAGCGCATGCTCTGCTCTGCTAGAACTGCCTGCAGGTGCTTACAAGCCCTAGCAATCAGGCAAACCGAATCCAAGCCTTCTCATTGCCGTATTGTGGGGAGACTTATTGGTGTTGATAACGTGCCTGTCTTCAGTGACCTGCAGCGGGTAAGCTGCTAGCCGCCAGCAGGTGCTTATCATCTTACTAATCAGGCAGACCGAATCCAAGCTCTCTCATTGCCATGTTGTGGGGAGGCCTTATTTTTCTCTATTTCTCTATTTCCGGGCATTCCTATTTCTCCCATTTTACTTCTATCTGCCAGCATTCCTATTTCTCTCATTTTACTTCTAAACTTGTTTCTCTTATCCCTGTGGCTTCCCGGCGCCCGCCCCGAGGCTGCTTCTCGGCGCCTCCCCCGCGGCGGCTTCCCGGCTCTGCGTGGCTTGGCTTCGCGCACTCCGCGGTCTCCACGCCCTTCGCGCTTGCACCACGGCCTTCGCGCTAGCCCCAAGTTCCCTATCTATCTGCGCCCCGTGCGCTCTCCCCACTTGTGCCCCGCGCGCTCTCTCTGCGCGCGGCGGCTTCCGCGAGTCACACAGCCCAGCTCACGTTTCCGCCACCAGCATTCAGTCCAAGTTCCCCGGGCTAACCTGGCGAATTCCAACCTGGCGGCCCACGTCTCTGCCTCTGGTTCCAGATTTTCACCTTTTGCTCCCCAGGCTGACTTGAAGAATTCCAACATAGCTTACGTCTCCGCCTCGGCCTGCCCCCGCGGCTTCATCCTCCCTAACATATTTTTCTACCCGGTATGTTTCCTAACTTTTCTTCCAACAATATTCCCCTCTCACTTCTCCTGGCTTCTCCCCACAGTCCGTATCCGAGTCTAAGTTTCTTCTAGGTTTCACTTTCACTTTCAACCTGCAGTCCGTATCTGAGTCTAAGTTTCTTCTTGCTTTCACTTTAAATCCTAACTTCTTTCCCACAGTCCGTATCCGAGTCTATGCCTAGGCTTTCGATAGCTTCTTCCGGCACCTTTTCCATCCGGCTTTTCCCTAGGCTCTTTGTTAGTCTCTCTCTCCGGTATTTTCCTACTTCTTCCCGCTTCTTCCCTCCTAAGTTTCCTATCCGAGTCACGGCACCATTATGTCACCCCCCTCTTCGTGGAGGAACGACACTAAACCCTGCCTAGGCTTCATATCCGAGTCACGGCACCATTATGTTGCTCCCCGTCTTCGTGGAGG